AGGACGGAACATCTGGTTCTGTTCAGTTTACCACAATCTATCCAGAACCAGAACCTGACCCAGTAGTCAGACCTGGTTCTGGTTCTGAGCTGCAGATATTTTAAAACACAGTTTTAGGTTGAAAACCCAGAATCTAGTTTCAGATGTTTTTATTTATTACAATTAAAACTCTCTTCATTCTCTAAATACGAGCCTCCATCATCATCATCATCAACATCTTCCACAGTTTTGAGCACCGACAACCTAGAGTGACGTCACAGTGACGTTCCAGTCCACGGTCCGTCCCTGAGCACACTCTGTCGCGCGTTTCCTGCTGTAGCACTGGAAGTTCCGACGCTCCCTGAACGCGTCCTGCTCTGAAGTTAGAAGTGCGGCAGGTTCGAGTCTTCCGCTGCGTCACGCTTCTGTTGCTCAACAACCGAGTCCGAGTCAGACCCGTTCAGGCTGGTTCCGGTTCCGGAGAGGTTCTGGCGGAGTTCTCACTGTCTCCCAGAACCGAACCGGACTGAGTTCTTCCGAACTTGGCCGCGCTGAGGAACCCAGGAAGGAGCGTCTCTGAGGCGGATGTGGAACAATGAGCCCCGCCGCCTGACAGACCCGAAGGTCCGGATCCCCGGAACCAGGACCCGGTTCAACTAAAGCCGAACAAGAACCAGAACCATGGGGACCCAGGGGACAGGAAGGAAGAGGTCCACCAAGAAGGACCGCTCCACCGCGGAGGACGAAGCTCTGGACCGGATCGCCAGAGAGGTGAGTGGGCTGGACCCGGTTCCACACGCGGTCCGAGTCCAGGACCCGGTTCCACACGCGGTCCGAGTCCAGGACCCGGTTCCACACGCGGTCCGAGTCCTGGACCCGGTTCCACACGCGGTCCGAGTCCAGGACCCGGTTCCACACGCGGCCCGAGTCCAGGACCCGGTTCCACACGCGGTCCGGGTCCAAACTCCCCAAAGACCAACTCCAGGGGCGGTCCCTTCAGAACTTGGGCCCAGGGAACCATCTGAGCGGTTCTGGTAAAAACCGGGTCACACACTGTTTAAACCAGAGAAACAGGATGTCTGGGTTCTGGTTCTGGTTCTGAATGGATTCGTTTTTAATCTTTGGAGGAACCAGAAACATGGAAACACGGTCAGCACCCTGACCCGGTCTGATGTGGACTAAACCTCTTGACCCGGTCTGGTCTGACCCGGTGTGGCCTGATCTGGTCTGACCCGGTCCGGTCTGGCCCGGCCTGGTCTGGCACAGTCTGAATTGGTCTGACCCGGTTTGACCCGATCTGGTCTGGTCTGACCTAGTCTGACTCGGTCTGATCTGGTCTGACCCGATCTGGACTCCTGGTTCTGCCTCAGGTGGACCGTCTGTTCCGGGTCAGCAGCCTGGCCAATCTGTGATGTCATCAGCATCAGGTGGTGCTGGACTGCAGTTCTACCGGACCGGACCTCCGATCAGACGTTCCTGGTCTGGGTTCCATTACTGGAACCAGGAGGTTCTGCTGATTCTGCAAGGAAAGGTTCATCTTGACCAGTTGGTAGAACCCGGTCCAGTTGATGGAACCCGGTCCAGTTGGTAGAACCCGGTCCTGCAGGTAGAACCCGGTCCAGTTGATGGAACCCGGTCCAGTTGGTAGAACCCAGTCCTGCAGGTAGAACCAGGTCCTACCGGTAGAACCCGATCCAGTTGATGGAACCCGGTCCAGTTGGTAGAACCCGGTCCTGCATGTAGAACACGGTCCTACCGGTAGAACCCGATCCAGTTGATGGAACCCGGTCCTGCCAGTAGAACCCAGTCCTGCAGGTAGAACCCGATCCAGTTGGTAAAACCCGATCCAGTTGGTAGAACCCGGTCCTGCAGGTAGAACCTGGTCCAGTTGGTAGAACCCGGTCCTACCAGTAGAATCCGGTCCTGCTGTTAGAACCCGGTCCAGTTGGTAGAACCTGGTCCTGCAGGTAGAACCCGGTTCAGTTGATGGAACCCGGTCCAGTTGGTAGAACCCGGTCCTGCAGGTAGAACCTGGTCCAGTTGATGGAATCTGGTCCAGTTGGTAGAACCCGGTCCTGCCGGTAGAACCCGTTCCTGCCGGTAGAACCCGGTCCTGCCGGTTCCTGCCGGGGTTCTGATGCAGCCCGGCCTGCCAGCAGCAGCGCCGGCCCTGATGACCCGACCCGTTCTGCTGCAGAGCTTTAAATAGATCCTCAGCTGCTGCTGGGGGGGGCAGCAGGTGGAGACCCGAACGGTTCTGAGTATCCAGAGAAATACCGGACCCAGCAGAACCAGAACCTTCTGGGTTTAGTGGCAGTATTAACTGCCAGTAATGATCCGACCGAACCGCTGGTTGGTTCCGTTTAGATTGGATGAAACGGGCCAGAAGTTCTGGCTGGATGAAGATCTGGATCAGAACCAGGACCAGCAAAGGTTCTGTGAGGTTCTGGTTCTGGTTCTGGTCCGGTTCAGCCCACCTGTGACCCACAGGGCAGAGTTCTGGCCTCGGCTCCTTAAAAGGAAGCGGAGCTTCTGTTTCCTGTGGTGACATCATCATCCCTGCAGATCGCTATCGGCGACCACTTCCTGTTTGTGGAGGAGATTCTTGGAGGGGGCGGGGCCAAAGACCGGAGAACATTCAGCCATTGGATCAGAACCGGTCCCACATCCAGACCAGAACCCAGAGGGCCCAGAGAACCAGGCTTCAGTGCATGATGTCACTGTCGGGTCTCGGGTCAGAACCGCTTTGGTTGCCGTGGTAACTGGCTGACTGATCCGGGCTCAAAGCGGGTCAGAATGGGACCCAGTTCAGTTCTACTCAGGCTAAGAGCGATCTGGTTTTGGTCCAGGACCGGCTGGTTCTGGTGTGTTTGACTTTGTTCTGGTTCTGTTCGTTAAACTCAGTTTGGTCGGACCGGGTCGGGCCGCCGTAGAACTCCAGACTGACAGGAGAACCGCACGGGTCCAGGAACAGAACCCGCTGAAAGACTGGTTCTGTTCCTCCTTGTCTTTTAGAATATGGGTCAGATTCTGATGGGTTGGTACCGAGACCCAGACTGTGAAAGAATCCCCCAGCATGACGCCGCCTCCACCGGTCTGAGCTGCTGAGATCCAGACTCCAGCTGACGGGTTCTAACAGGTTCTAACGGGTTCTAACAGGTTCTAACGGGTTCTAACGGGTTCTAGCAGGTCCACTTCAAGGTCCAGGTTGTCCATGTCTGTGCTGAGACTTCCCGGCAGGCCGACCCGGCCCGGAACGCAGAGAACCAGCAGGTCCGGTATCAGATTTCAGGCTCGGAATGCCAGCAGCAGGTCTGGGAACGCCGCTATTTATAGCTGCTGATAGGGAGCATGGACATGTGGTCCGGTTCTGATCCAGCTGCAGGGAGCGGTTCTGATCCAGCTGCAGGGAGCGGTTCTGATCCAGCTGCAGGGACCGGTTCTGATCCAGCAGCAGGGACCGGTTCTGATCCAGCTGCAGAGACCGGTTCTGATCCAGCTGCAGAGACCGGTTCTGATCCAGCTGCAGCATCTGGTTCTGATCCAGCTGCAGGGACCGGTTCTGATCCAGCTGCAGCATCTGGTTCTGATCCAGCAGCAGGGACCGGTTCTGATCCAGCAGCAGGGACCGGTTCTGATCCAGCTGCAGGGACCGGTTCTGATCCAGCTGCAGGGTCCGGTTCTGATCCAGCTGCAGGGTTCTGCTGGGTTCTGCTGGGTTCTGGTCCTCGCTGCTCACCTGTTATCTACTGATAGCAGATTATCAGGCTTTGCTGAAGCTCAGAAACATCCAGAACCTGCAGGAGCCTTGAGGATCCGGGTCGCCGTAGGGAACGGCGAGGGTCGCCAATATGGCGCCGCCGCCGCCAAGAGGCCCTCAGGGACCCCATGGGGCAGCGGCTCTTTTTAATCAGTTAAACATTTATTTATAATTTATTTATAAAAGATAAAACCCAAAAGCAAATTGGTACCGACCCAAAGCTAGAACCTCAGAACCCGGCCTGGTTCTGGTCGGAGAGGTGAGGGAAGGTTCTGGAGGTTCTGAAGGTTCTGGAGGCTCTGGAGGTTCTGGAGGTTCTGGAGGCTCCATCCCATCAGACGCCCTCTTCTCATTTCCAGGCTGTAAAGCAGAACAGTTCTGATTGGCCCGGTCCGATCTGGGTCGGTATAAATAGCTGGCCCACTTGGCGGCCTGGTTCCTGCACGCCGCTCCCAGGTGGAGCAGAACATTTGGACCACTTCCTGTCTGGATCCATCAGAACCCTTTGATCCACGGTTCTGATCCGAGCAGAGTCAGAATCCTGGATCGCAGCCCGTCATAGAAACGCTGAAACCGTGAGTGGAGCGGCGGCCATCTTGGCGTCTGGCGTGGTCATGTTGCTCCGCCCCTCTGCTTCCCTTTTCTGACTTTAAGGTTTTTCATTTATCAGAACTTCTGTCCTGCTGAGAAAATGGAGGCAGAGCGCCTCCGGTTCTGATGGTCCATCATGGCGTGTTAAACAGGAAGTGGCTCTCTGAGCGGGCCGCTGCTTCCTGTTTCCTTGGAGGCGCTTTCTGCCCCATTGAGGCTGTGACCAGGTGGAGCCGTCAGCTCATCCAATCAGACGGCTGATCTCAGCCTCCCGCTTCCTGGAGCTTTGAGGCTGACCTTTGACCCGCTGACCAGAGCGGGTCAGAATAACGGCGCCGCAGCCCGGCGGCGCTCTGAGCCGCTCCTGCTTCCTCCTGGTTCTGATTGTTCTGACCCAGCAGCTGCCGTCGGCCTGCTTCTGTTTTCACCCACATGTCTTTATTTGAGGGGCCCTCAGGGTCCAGGGGCCCACGTCACAGTGGGGCTGAAGACCTAGGCCCGGTTCTGCTGTAAACCCAGGCCCGGTTCTGCCGTAGACCCAGGCCTGGTTCTGCTGTAAACCCAGGCCCGGTTCTGCCGTAGACCCGGGCCCGGTTCTGCCGTAGAACCGGGCCCGGTTCTGCTGCTCCTGTGAGTGCAGGTGTGGATGGGACCAGGTTAGACGTTCCTCCTCTGCTGCTGATCAGCATGAGGAACTGGAACCAAGATGGAGGGTTTCCATGGTGACGCTGCCTTTCCAGGGCGGCTGAAGGGAGCGGAACACGTTCAGTGTTTTCTGACGTCCCTCCACCATCATTAGGAGGAAGAAGAAGAAGGTGTTTCAGAGATCCTCAGCAGAACTTCCTGAGGCTCTGAAGCGGCGCCGACCTCAGAGGGAAACCAGCAGGAAGTGGAGACGATTTACTGCCTTTCACCTCTGACCTCTGATTAATGGAAACATGGCCGCCCATGGGCTCTACACGCATGGCGGTGAGCACGCCGGCCTGCGTTTGTTTGGGGGAAATGTGATGTCAGGAGGCGCCGCGCCCAGAGCCTGGCGGCTCCGTTAGAGGAAGGAAACGCTCTCACACTCTGAGCTCCTTTTAAGGAGAAAAGGCCGCGCTGCTCTGGGCTGCCGCGCCAACAGCAGCAAACTGACAAGTGCAGACTGGAAACCATTAAACTCGCTTCTATTCCAAGTTCTGCAGCTAAGGTTCTGCCGAGACCTTCGCCATGTCACCGAGTCACTAGGCCAAGCTGCAGTCAAACATCTGGCCTCACTTCCTGTTTTTATTTTCTCCCAGGCGGAGGCCAGGCTGGCAGCCAAGAGGGCGGCGAGGGCGGAGGCCCGGGAGATCCGGATGAAGGAGCTGGAGCGCCAGCAGAAGGAGGTATCCACACCGCCGTTACCATGGTTACCCATGGAGGGGGCGGGCACAGGAAACTGAGACCCATTTAGACCAACGAGGAAGAAATTATCCCATTTTCCCCCCTTCATTATGAAAAAAAACAGTAATAAAGAATAAAATCCTGCAGGATGGAGACTAGGTCCGAGTTAATCTAGATACAGGCTGTGAAACATGGAGGAAAATGCCTCGAGATGAAATAAACGACTCGAGACGAAATAAACGACTCGAGACGAATTAAACGACTCTAGACTAAATAAACGATTCGAGATGAAATAAACGACTCGAGATGAAATAAACGACTCGAGATGAAATAAACGACTCGAGACGAAATAAATGACTCGAGATGAAATAAACGACTCGAGATGAAATAAACGACTCGAGATGAAATAAACGACTCGAGACGAATTAAACGACTCGAGAAGAATTAAACGACTCGAGATTAAATAAACGATTCGAGATGAAATAAACGACTCGAGATTAAATAAACGATTCGAGATGAAATAAATGACTCGAGATGAAATAAACGACTTGAGATGAAATAAACGACTCGAGACGAAATAAACGACTCAACGAAATAAACGACTCGAGACAAATTAAACGACTCGAGGCGAAATAAACGACTCGAGACAAATTAAACGACTCGAGATGAAATAAACGACTCGAGATGAAATAAACGATTCGAGCTGAAATAAATGACTCGAGACGAAATAAACGACTCGAGATTAAATAAACGATTCGAGACGAAATAAACGACTCGAGACGAAATAAACGACTCGAGACAAATTAAACGACTCGAGACGAAATAAACGACTCGAGATGAAATAAACGACTCGAGACGAAATAAACGACTCGAGACGAAATAAACGACTCGAGACGAAATAAACGACTCGAGACGTAATAAACGACTCGAGACGAAATAAACGACTCGAGACGAATTAAACGACTCGAGATGAAATAAAGGACTCGAGATGAAATAAATGACTCGAGATGAAATAAATGACTCGAGATGAAATAAATGACTCGAGACGAAATAAACGACTCGAGACGAAATAAACGACTCGAGATTAAATAAACGATTCGAGCTGAAATAAATGACTCTAGATTAAATAAACGATTCAAGATTAAATAAATGACTCAAGATGAAATAAACGACTCGAGATTAAATAAACGACTCGAGATTAAATTAACGACTCGAGATGAAATAAATGACTCGAGATTAAATAAACGACTCGAGATTAAATAAACATCTCGAGATGAAATAAACGACTCGAGATTAAATAAACGACTCGAGATGAAATAAATGACTCAAGATTAAATAAACGACTCGAGATGAAATAAACGACTCGAGACGAATTAAACGACTCGACAAAATAAACGACTCGAGACAAATTAAACGACTCGAGGCGAAATAAAGGACTCGAGACTAATTAAACGACTCGAGATGAAATAAACGACTCGAGACGAATTAAACGACTCGAGACGAATTAAACGACTCGAGACGAAATAAACGACTCGAGACGAAATAAACGACTCGAGACAAATTAAACGACTCGAGACGAAATAAGCGACTCGAGACGAAATAAGCGACTCGAGACGAAATAAGCGACTCGAGACGAAATAAACGACTCGAGACGAATTAAACGACTCGAGACGAAATAAACGACTCGAGATGAATTAAACAAATCAATTTCAACTAAATGACTAGGTGTCAAAAAATCAACATGAGCTAAAGGACTTGAAATAAATGTAACGGTTCCATTATTTATGTCTGGACTTTGACTAGGCCACTCTAACTATTCAGTCTGCTCTGATCTAACTGATCTATTTCTGTCTGATGTTCTCCTGGTCTTTTCGTCCTGACGATGATGATGATGATGATGATGATGCTCTTCCTTGGTTCCTTTAGATGTTTAATTTCTGGAATCTTCCAGACAGCAGCTGCTCCTGCATGGCCTCCAGAAGGTCAAAGGTCGTTCAAAGGCCGACCCAGAGCAGGTTGTTCTGAACCTTCAGGTTTTGGTCCATCTGTGGGAACGTCTCCCTCGGTTTGGGCCCCTTCTGGGCCTCCAGGTGGATCCACAGCAGGATTTTCCTCTCAGGTTCTCTTTTCAAATTTAAGCAGGATTGAACCGGTCGATTGAACCGGTCGATTGAACCGGTCGATTGAACCGGTCGATTGAACCGGTCGATTGAACCGGTCGATTGAACCGGCCGGGTCCACAGGTCCGCACCCAGAGGTTCTGTCCGTCTGTCTCCTCATCCTAAAGTTCTAAGCTTTTCCAACTGGTTCAGGTTCAAGACCTGTGATCTGGTCTAAGAAACGTAGATCTGCTCTGAGGAATGTAGATCTGCTCTGAGGAACGTAGATCTGCTCTGAGGAACGTAGATCTGCTCTGAGGAATGTAGATCAGCTCTGAGGAATGTAGATCAGCTCTGAGGAACATAGATACGCTCTGAGGAATGTAGATCAGCTCTGAGGAACGTAGATCAGCTCTGAGGAACATAGATCAGCTCTGAGGAACATAGATCCGCTCTGAGGAACGTAGATCTCTTTTGGAGAATATAGATATAGAGCCGCGGCGCAGCAGCAGGATTACTGCTGCTTGCTGAGCCGTTCTGGGCGGCCGTGTGACCCGTAAACCTTTTAGCGGCGTTGGAAAGCTGATTAGTGATCTGTGCTGCTGGCCGTGGCGTGGCAGCCATTGTTGCTGCTGACTGCAGGCATGGGCCGCAGAGCTGCCGGCAGGCCGACGCATTCCTGGATGTTTCCTCAGAGGGTTCCGATTCTGGACCGGACCGAATCCACCATCAGAACCTGAGCTCAACTCCTTCCTTCTGACCACCTGACATGGCCGCCCGCCGCTCTGCCTGCTGACTTCTAAAGAATGGCGTCTCTCCTGGTTCCCTGACGGCAGAAAGGACGGCCCGGCGTCGGCTGACGGGGCGGGGGCTTAGGGCGGCCCTTGCCGGTCGGCCCAGGGCCCCCCTATTGGGGAAGGGAACCTCGGTGAGTGGAGCCGTTGGCGTGCTGTGTAACCGAGACGCCCGGACCGCCTTGGTCTCAGGCTGCCCTCGTCCTTAATGGGGTCAAAGATGGCCTCCAGTTTAATCTGCAGGCAGGCAGCGCGGCGCTGCACGCGTAGACGCAGAGGGGAAGGTGGTGGTTAGTCAGAGGGAGTCAGCGACTGAGGCTGCGTTCACCCTGATGGCATCAGACGGGCTGAAGGTTCCTCTGAGGAACAGACCCCCCCCCATCACCTGACCTCCTGACCTCTGGTAGAACGCCAGCAGCCGGTCTGCTACCTGACTGGATCAAAGGACTGACTTCTGATTGGACGATCATTGACTGGACAGCTGGGGGGGATAAATCTGGATTAAAGGTGTCCATTCTGGGATCAACGGGGGGGGGGACCAGGGTTTGGGTTCTACCTCCATAACCAGCTGATCTTCATCTCCTCTATTAGCAGGGTTAGCATTAGCATATGGGTGTTAGCATGCAATTATTGGCATAAGGTATTAGCATGTGGGTGTTAGCATGCAATTATTGGCATAAGGTATTAGCATGTGGTTGTTAGCATGTGGGGGTTAGCATATGGGTGTTAGCATGCAATTATTGGCATAAGGTATTAGCATGTGGTTGTTAGCATGTGGGGGTTAGCATGTGGGTGTTAGCGTGTGGCTGTTAGCATGTGGGTATTTGCAGCTGGGCGTTAGCATATGAGTGTTAGCATGTGGGTGTTAGCAGCTGGTTGTTACTTTGTGGATGTTAGCAGCTGGGTGTTAGCATGTGGGTGTTAGCATGTGGGTGTTAGCATGTGGGTGTTAGCAGCTGGGTGTTAGCATGTGGGTGTTAGCAGCTGGGCGTTAGCATGTGGGTGTTAGCATGTGGCTGTTAGCATGTGGGTGTAAGCAGCTGGGTGTTAGCATGTGGGTGTTAGCAGCTGGGCGTTAGCATGTGGGTGTTAGCATGTGGCTGTTAGCATGTGGGTGTAAGCAGCTGGGTGTTAGCATGTGGGTGTTAGCAGCTGGGCGTTAGCATGTGGGTGTTAGCATGTGGCTGTTAGCATGTGGGTGTAAGCAGCTGGGTGTTAGCATGTGGGTG